ACATACAATTGACATTCATTAAAAATACAAGTGTTAAGGGGCCAGGGATTTAGCTCAGTGGTTCTGCCACCTGCCTTGCAAGTTCAAGGTCCCAAGTTCGATTTCCAATACCAAAAACAAAGGTAAAAACTAGTTACATAAAGTATATTAATAACACTAAAGAAAATAATTTAGAAAATCAGAATAGTGAATGTGAAGGTTTTAACTTATACATAGACCTTTGCATGACCTTCTTTCCTTCAAAAAGCAGAACCTAGTTCTCTCTTGCACTGTAGCCTGGGTTTAGGGACTATTTAATGACTAGAATGCTGTAGAAATGGTAGTGTTTGGCTTTCAAAGCTTGGTCAAGATTCTTTCACACTATCATTTCTTCTGTCTGCTTGCTAGATACTGACAACCAAGGTGGTCTTGTAAACCACATGTTGAAGTTGATGGTACCTCCATCAGCCTGGTTTTTAAAATAATTTTGTAGTAGACAGTTTCTAGACCCAGACTGATGGAAGATTTATCATCTTCAGTGTGGGTTCTAAATTTTCCTAGGCACCTCCACCCAGCTACCAGATTGGGGAGGTGAGTATAGAGATGTTGGTTTCTTAACTGCTTCAGCCAGAAAGTAACACACATTACCTACTCACATTCCATTGGTATATACTAGTCATTTGGAGCCAACTACATGAAAAGACCTTGGAAATGCAGCTGTTGGTTAGGTTGTTGCTCTCTAATCACAACTCTACACAAAGAAATGGGGCATGGATGTTGGAGAGTTCTGCCATGTCAACCCTCTTATACGTAGCACAAACTCAATGCCAGGGGAGGATGAATTAAAGACTCATCCAAATATTGTTTCCAATTCCAAATGCAGAACCTCCAAAATGTGCACAATCTTCTTCATAAGGTTGAGATCTCTCTAGTAAATGGGAAAACCATACACACACACACACACACACACATACAAAAGCAGGTTATATTTCATATAAAATATATAATGATGGAAGGAGAACATGATGTTTACAAGGAAATCCTGCCAATGATTTCTGATTAATAAAATACTGTAACTTTGTCAGGCAGGCATTATGTAACCCTTTTGCCTTAAGTGTGGTGTAAACTCTTTGAGCAGGCCCTGCTCTGTTCTTTGGAAGGGATTTATTTGCCTACTCTTGTCTAAGGCTTCCAATTAAGCCTCTAGAAGCTTTTCTCTTGTTTTACTCTTTATGGCCACATGTAAAATGGTTATTCAGGAGCATACCTTCTTCAGGGGCTATACATTTTTTAGCCTACTTCCTACTAGTACAAATTTGGGGGTTCAGGAGTTGGCTTTTGAGACTCAAGGCTCCTTTGGCAATGCAATTCCCTGAGAAACTTTCATTTTTGCATGACTGTTTTCCATCAGTTGCATTTGGCAAGAATGATATTCAAAACTTCCTGTCTCCAGCCTAAGTTTCTTGCTTCCTGACCACTGGGCTTCTTTCTCAGCTTAATGATGCTCTTTTTAGGTTATCCAAAAGAGTTATGCCCTCAGTACCATCTGTGACATAAGGCTTAACTACTAATGGACTCAAAAGTTCTTCTCAGTGTCATCTACTATTGTTTGGGGTCTAGCATCTGACTCTCCAAGCTCTCTCCTGGGGGATTTTCTTGAGCTTATCATTTATATAAGATATGACGGGTGGTGGGGAGAGGAAAAAATAGAAGGAAAAAAATGAAAACAAGACTTCTGTAAATAAGGACGGAAAGAGATGTTGAAGGGAGGGGAAGGGATTGGGAGAAAAAAGAAAAATCAAGATATATTATGTACAGGTACAAATTCCCTCTATTTTGGTTTGTTTTTTGTTTTTTATTTATTTATTTATTTATTTGCTCCCAGAATACTCAGGTCCTTTTGCTTGCGAGGTAGGTGCCAGAACCACTGAACTAAATCCTCGGCCCCTGTTTTTGATTTTTTTTTGAGACAGGGTCTCACTATGTAGTTGAGACTGCCCAGGCTGGTCTTGAACTCACAGCGATCCTCCTGCCTCAGCTCCCAAGTGCTGGGATTACAGGCATGGAACACCATGCCCAGCAGTCAAATTCCCTCTGATGAATATTATTATGTATATCTAAAAATGTAACAATAAAGTTAACTTTTAAAAAAATGATTTAAGGCAGGTTCTGGCTCTACCTTCTTCCCAAGATGATTTTCCTGCTACGGATTCACTTAGCAGTAGAGAGCATCACTGAGTATATTCATCTAATTATCAAGGAAAAGTGAGTTTTTAATTTTAGCAATTGCTCTTAATGTTGTTTGTATTCTAAAGCAATTTTTTGCTTATTTGGCAAAATATGGGCAATGTGTAATAAAATTCAAAGATAAATTTAAGAGCAAAAATTCTGCAGTCTGGATACATGGAAGGAATGGAAGAATAGTCCTTTGCCAGAGTACTAAATGAAAAAAATCTTTGAAGTTTTAACACTAAGAATGTAAAGAACAAGACAGAAGGAGGAGAAGTAGGAGCAGTAGTAGGAGGAGATTTTCAATCAAATAAAAGGACTTTGTTGAATTTTTTACAACACTCTTCTACTCCAAGGATAACAGTTTTCTGCCATTTACATGTTGATAATTGGAGCTGACTTTTCAAGGTCTGGAGGACTTTTCTACTTTGCACTTTGTGCCCCACAATTAAGCAAAAGACAGCTTTCCAGATTGTTTTGTTGTCTTATGTAGGGAAATGTAAATTTCTTTCTTGGATGGATATCTATGATGGTGGAAGTAGAAGACATCTAACATCATCACAAGGACAATCAGGATGAAGATGATGATGATGGAGGAGGAGGATAATAATAGTAATGAAGAATGGGGAGAGAGAAGAGAAAAAGAGGAGGGACAGAAAGAGAGAAGGAAAAAGAGTAAGAAGTAGGATGCAAGGGAGGATAAGGAGTCAAAGGGAAAAAAATATTCTTGATCATGGTGATGAATAACCATTTAAAATGGCTCAATTCAGTTTGGGGCCAACCAGCAATCATCATGAACACAGGATCCCAAATACCCCCTCCCAAAAACCCGCTTCTGCCTCTGTGAGTATTCCACTTGGATAGTGGTAGATCTAATGATAAAACACAGAACTGTCAGCATTACCTTTGTTCTTCTTAGATTTCACCAGTATCCTACAATGTAGAAAGTGTTACCTTCAGTTTATAGATGAAGAAACCATGGCTCAGAAGACTTGACAGGAGTACAAGAGCAGGGATCCCAATGTCAAGCCATTGTTCTCTGGATTTGAGGCTCTTATCGTACCTGGGAAAACAAATTTCTCTATACCCCTGGATCCCTACTGGAGACTTCTCTATTACTGTGTATGTAGAAAGTGTACCTACCTTTTTGGGTGCAGAAGAACATGTCCAACCTCAAGGGTGGCTGTGAGGAGGATAGTAGCCTGATGGGATTAAATTTGGTTGCATATTTTGAAAAAAAAGACACTATATTCTCTAAAAGCAAATATGATATCCTTGGAAGAAGTTTCTCAAATCATTTGAGTTGTTTTATAAAATACAAATACAAAATAAATTAGCTAGAATAAATTATTTTGGAGGAAGTGTAAAATTCCTTCAAACTTGAATATGGGCATTCATTGAAACAGTCCTAGGTTCTAAATCTTATTCTAGCAATTATTAGTTGTTATCTTTGGGCAGTTATTTAACATTGTCCAGCTCCAAGCTTTCATTATTAGAATGCAGATAATATTTGCCCTGCATGAAGGTAGGGAGCATTAAATGAGGCATGAAATCAATTGCTAAATGCATGTTAAGGTCTCAAGAAAGTACTTCCTCTTTTCTGCAAGTTGAAAGTATAGGTGTTAGCTTAATCTTCTAATTTTTATGATAAAATAATACAATAAAACTGTAGAAGTAATCTTAAGATAAAGCTTGATAATTTCCCTCCTTAAGTATCTTTATTGAAGAGCTACTAAATTATATTTTTCTGGGGCATCTTTAAAATAATATTTGCTGCCAGTATAAAAATGTTAAATTGACCAAGTGATAATTACAATATATGGACTTTTATATTAATTGAAATATAATGTGCTTGAACAAAATAAAGACCTCAGAAATTATGGTAGACATCTGGCAAACAGTTTTAACTCTCTCCATTTCAAGGCACACAATAGGACTGCATTTCTTGGTTTGCATGGGATTACCTAATTAGTCCTGGCCAATGAGCTGTAAGGGGGTGCAGTGGCTGCCTGAGACCTTTCAGACTGTAACCTTTGAACTTAATAACCAGCAACAATTGGCTAGGTATCTGCATAAGGTTGGGTTCCTGAGAGCATCCTTGGTGACCACAAGAGTAATGCAGCAAGAGACCATGGCATTATTACTACACATGTCTTTCTGAATGATTAGAGGTGATTAACACAAACCAATATAGCCTTCAAAGCAAAAAATATAAAAAATGAAAGAACTAGATTTTTTTTTCCTTTTAAATGAGTGAAACAATACATAGAGCCTCACTTCCAAATGTCGCTTAGACTCTTTCACCTCTGCAACACTTATACAATAGACACAATTTCACTTAGTAATTTATACTGCAATGCATCTCTCACATGAAAACAGGAATCAAAATTAGATTAAGAGAAAATTAAGAGCACGGGTATAAGATAATTTAATGTTTCTCAGTCAAAAGCTTTCTAAACTTTGTATTTTTTTTTAAAAAAATCTATTGATGTATTTCTTCATCATGCAATTCACACTCTAAGTTCAATACTAAGTAATTTAGAGGTACTCAAATAGCCTTGACTATTTATACATATAAAGCATATATAATGGATGCACAGTTTATATTACTTATGCTAACAAGAAGAATATTACACTTGAACTGGGGTGAATATACATAGTTTTAATTTTTTGTTCAGATAATTTCAAACAATTTAAAAGTACCAAATAAACACCAGATTTAAATAAAAATAAACAATAAAACATCTCAATAAATAATTTTATTTTAAAATGATACTTGCTATTAATATATAAGGCATCAAATACCATAAGAAAAAACTCATAACCTTAATAATTGCCCTTTTAATATAAAAACACATAATCATCATCAAATTATTTTTGTTTGGCAAGAAAAGTGGAATTAAAAGCGTGATAAGAACCATACAGTGAAAACTCTAAATATACCATATAGGTATAACTATCCTTGCTTTCTTTCATGACATTTGTTTTGAGCCTGGCTAGGAAGCACAAAGATGGCAGTGGGAAACAGTTTGGCTGTTTCTGAAGTATAGGAGAGTTACCAAAACTTGGAGCAAAGGAAAATGCTGCTTCTATTTTCCTGTAACAAAGCACTAATTCACAGTAAAATAATTTCAAAATATGTTATAGTCTTAGGAGCCTGAAATTGAAAGGTTAAAAAAGTATATCAATAAACATTTGTGGGATACTGAATAACCAAAACAGATTTCTATAATTATGGCATCTTAGTCTGTGGTTGATTACAAATTCTTCATCCATGACTTGTAAAAGACTTCTCCTATTTTTAAAGTCAACATTAAGGCACTCCAAACTCCTGTAACAAAACTATTATAACATCAGCTTTGGGATATTAAAGTTCTACAACTACAAAATATAACCTAATACATTTATAGACTTGTGCACATAAACTTGCATACCAACAGACAAAAATCACAAGTACACTCTTTTAAGTGGAAACCATGGATTTTTGAAATCAGTTTTATGTGTTTATCATCTCTATTTTTACAATGTCAATGTTCTAGTTAGGGAAATTACTTCCTAAGATGTATGCTCATAAAAGTGAGGAGAGAGGATTATGGAGTACTATCTGGGCATACAATGATATAGCTGTAATTAGATAAAAGAATGATATATCTTGTAAGATCTTATACACTGGAAAAAATCAGTGAGACTTGATTTTCATACTTCTTTTCAAAGTCATTCTTTATGCCTAATTCTGGGAAAGACTAAATCTATTACAGAGAAGTATAAGGATCTGCTTTATTCCTTTGTTGCTGTGGAATCTAGTTATGGTATTAAATCTGCTATAACAGGTAAAGCATTTGCAAAAATTGTGACTCTCACTGGTCAGACCAATTTTTTGGTAGTATTAACTGCTACAACAGAATCTGATCTTAAGATCAAGAAAATCCTTCTTCTAACATATACATAGAATAGTTTCCCTTTAAGTAGAGATTAATTCAGGTACACATGTGAAGCAAGAAGGTCATAATACTCTAATTCAACTCTCTAGAATTTTTGCCTTTCCCAACAAAGTAAAAAAGAGTACCTTAGGCTCAGATCCTTAACTCCTGATATATAACTGACATGAAGTTCACTCATTCATTTGACCTTTATATGGGGATAAAGAGAATACACAAAAGATTCTGGTAGTTTGTCTAAACTTGCAACTCAAGACATGTGCCAGTACTGGTTGAACTGGGTCTCTAAAAAAGCTAAGTATGAGGGGATGGATCAAACATTTAAGCAGATGCAAAGCCTATTTTATATATCAAGGAAATCAGCTAGATAGCACAGAATCAAGGTACATGGCATTCATGTGAGTAAAACCATGCACAGCCCAGCAAGGACTTCCTGCTTCCAAACAGCCCTGTACTATTCTGAACCACAAATCAGCTCTGCAATGGGAAGCCTGGGGAGAAGACATTCTTCATATGTAAGGCCAGTACATCGTATTATATGGCCTGCTTCAAGAGCTTCCAACAGCTGGCAAGGACCCATGGCATTGCGAAGAAAACTTCAAATTCTACCACAGTTTAAAGTGTCTTAAATAGGCAGTTTTAGAAAGACATTAGAAAGCATGAATTGTGCACTAGCAACATTCAGAAGTCAGTAGCAAAGAAAGGCAGCTTTCTTTCTGGTCCTGACACTGTTGGCCCACATGGCTGAAGGTTTAGCTGCCTTCTCTTTAAGATTAGGAAGAGACACTTAGATGAGATTCTTGAAACCAGACAAACAAGCTTAAGGTGTAGGGCTTCTGTAAATTCTGCTTCTCCAGGTCCAGTAATAAAAACTTTGACAGATAACTGGCAACATGTTGAAGAGACAGATATAAGGTCACAAATTTCTGTGAAGGTTTCTAGACCGACACCATAGCTACTGACTCTGCAGTCTGTAGCATTTCTCACCTGGTCTGGCCAAAGTACTTCTACCATCAAAACATTTGGTATAAGACTAAGACTAGGAACAATGGTGTTCAAAGTTGTGTACCTTTCTTTATCTGGTTTATTTTCAAAATCAAGAAATCTTTGTCTTCAATTCAGGCACTTACAAAATGGAGGGGGACTTCTCAAACTAAATACATGGGGGAAGGCTGACTGAAAAAGAGTTGTCCTCTATATTTTAGCAGATCTAAATAATATTATCAAAATAAGAATTTACTTGCTGTCAACTTTCAATTTAAATCTTAAGGAAAATTTTAGAGTTCCACAGGAAAAAAAAATATTCTCACAGGTTAGGTCCCCACCTCCACTTGAATATATATGTTCTTTTCCTAAATAGCTTTTATTTAATGTTGACTTTAGATCACACCTATAAATCTGGTAGTATGCAAGATTCATTAAACACTTCCAAATGAAAAGCACTGGCTTTTCTCTTTTATTATCAATTTTACAGAACTGAAAAGACACTCATCCTGTTTGAACGGATCATCAGGCTACAAATTAACTCGGTTTAGTCTTCTACTTGGCTAGTGAATTTTGCTTCACTAATTAATACAAACAAAATGTAGTTGGTCTCACTAAGGCTCCATGAATAAACATGTAGATTTTACAATGTAAATTTTAGTTTTGTTTTTTTGTTTTTTTGTTTTTAACCCACGTAAGGCCTGCTTGCTCACTCAGGAAGACTATTTCCTTCCTGTCTGAACCTCAAAGCAGCTCAAACAGGCTAGAATCAGCCAATTTATAAACCTTCAGGACATAACATTTATACTGCTGGGAAGGTAGCCTCAATAAAAACCGTAACATGAGATTCACAGTCAAACAGAAAGTTTATCTAAAAGCACACGCCAGCTATAGAAAACAAGAATCTTGATTTCTCATGATTCCTTCACACATCTGCCCCCATCATCTCTTTTTGTACTTTAGCTAGACGCCTAGTAACACACAGCTACCCTACCCATCAAATGGACTTGATATCCACCACTGGTCATTCATGTAATATCCTGACTCACACACTGCTAGATGTCATCTACCACACAAACTCAGACATAGGATTAGTGATAACTCCTACAGTGGGAGGCTGGAAACACCTCAGGAACAGGCCCACACTGCAAGATATTTCTGAGGCTGCATCCCTGACCCTTACTAAACAATTCCATACTGTGGCAGTAGCAGTGTGGACACTGAGTATATGACCACACTGCCCATTTTGTCCCTCTTAGACTAAGAAATTGCACTTTATGAGGCTAAAGTACACAGTTACTGAGGAGACCAAACACAACGTGCTCAGAAAGATGTCTGGACCTGTCTGGGAGGAGTCACATTGGTGGTGGGCACTGTGCCCAATGAATTGAAGTTGGTCTTTCTCTCTTCCAATTGCATTATTTTGGCTGTGGGCATAAAGATTCCTGAGGCAAAGACTGGTGGCAAATGACATAGTTTACCAGGTTTAGCTCCCGAGTCTAGCTGCAATCTATCAGAGATTATCTCCAAACAACCATAATGAAACACTGCATGGGAGCATGCCAGAGCCAATCATGACTCAGATTTGTCTCGATGGTTAGATATCTGGAGGTGTATTTGAAGTCTCATGCTTTGCCTTTCTGATATGAAAAATGGCAAAGACTTCAAGAGCACAAATAACCAGAATGATGACAAAACCACAAACAGAAATAACATTTATATCAGCAACTACATTTTACCTCACTCAGAAAAAGGGCACGGGACAATGGCAAATATCTGGCACTAACACTGCAGGTTTATTTTACACTGGTCTTTATTAGAAAGTTTACTCTAATAACATAGTTGCCATTTCTAAATACAGGAATAATTTAAGTATAACATTTTTCTAGTTTAAAAATAACCCAACATTCTCAAGCCTCAAAATATCCATACTCAAACATCTGCATTTCAGTATTTAGCCAAATTATATCATGAAAATCCAGCAAGAAAATGGATAAGCACCTCTGAGAATTAAATGTATGCTTTACTAAGTGATTAGTGCTTATTTTTCACAAAATAGATTGCCAATCAACCCCATTATACGTTCAATTTCCATGTACCTAAGAATACTATAGTTTTATAAAAGAAATCACTTGTATATTGGGTCATTAGAATTATTTTGCTATACAAATAGAAGCTCATGGCCATTACATACTGTTTACAGCTCTCACAAAGCTAGGTGTGGCTAGTTGTGGTTTCTTATGCATTTTACATGACTTCTAAATAGAAGACACTTGAACAAAACACTCACTGGCTGCTTGTTGGTTTGTGAAATAAACTTTTCTTGCTGGGCAAGTAACTCACATTATTAATTTTACGAAAACATTTTTACATAAAATGCCAAGGCAGAATCTCAGGAAGTACAGAGTTAACTCCGTACAGCAAGAGAATCTTCCTCTACCAAGGACAGTTCCAGGGTGTTTTCATTAGTGCTGGTTTTCATCCTGAAGTTGAAAGAACCATAGAATTTTGCAGATTCATTGGAAGAAGCAAATCTACTTCGCTGATACAGCTCCCCCTTCCACATAGACATCATCAGCAAACAGGACAGAACGACACCTCCAAGAGTAAGGAGGCAGAGCCCAGCAATCACACAGCGGTCCAGGTGAGCCCCCAACTGTGCACTCTCTTTCTCTAGACGTTCCATCTCCCGGGCTGCCACTGTGCTGGGATCCACAGTCACCTCCCGTGGGACAATGTAAGAAATGATCACTAGCAAGATGCCAGTGACTAAGAACAAGATTGCACTGATGAAACCATAGTCCACTGACATCCCTGAAGAGGTGGCTTCTGAACTTGTGTCGTCTTCATCCTCAGATAACAAAGATATGGCAGCCTCATGGGACCATTCATTTGGATTTCCCCAGACAAAGTCTCCAGAGCAATTACTCCCTTTTACTGAAGGGGACCTCTGGGTTCGTTGCTCCAGGTTGACATTCTCATCTACATAGGTGAAAGAAGTTTCTAGCTCCTGGCTGCAGCAGTAGCAGACTTTCCGTTCTGATGACATCTGGCTGTTCCCAGGGGGTCCTTCTGGGAAGAAGGCTACCTGAATAGTGCTGTCTTGCTGGGAGGAGGAGTGGGGTTCCAGGGAAGGGCTATGTCTAGATCTTTCCATTACAGCTGCTCTTGGTACGGACTTGCAGTGTTTCTCACAGCACAGAGCAGCTCTGATGGCTGCCACCTCTTCCTGGTTCCCAAGAGGCCCTTTTGCACGACAGTCTATGAAGTTACACAGGTCTGCCTGGTTGCTTTTCTTAGCAAGGCAATGGAGCTCCATGGAGCTAGGCAGATGGCCCCCAGAAGCTTCTAGAAGTTCTTCCAGGAGCAGCACAGATAAGGACTCCGTATTCTTAAGGCAGACCATGAGCCATCAGAAGTGCTGTTTCTGAGGGCCCCATCTCCTTTGCAGTCACCAAAAGGGCACCTCAGCCCAATTCCTCCTACAAGGAGCCAAAGGGAGATTCCTAGTAGCTGGAGAGTGTGAAAAGGGAAAACCACCTGACTTGTCACAGGAGTTAAAAGTGAGAAAATCAGGGTAGAAAAGGAGCAGGGAGGAAGTGGCAGTGTCTCTGGAGAAAGCACACTATCGTCACCAAACCAAATTTATCCAAGGACTCACACATTCCTGTGATAGGACCCCTCAAAGGAGAAGGTTTCCTGTAGAAAGACACAAAAAAGAAATGCAGGGGACCCTTTTAGCAGAAATGCTGAATTTCTGGAAGACTAGAAGCACAGGCTTGTTAATAATCTAATTACACTGTGTTTACACTCTGAACAGGACAGATTCTAGTCAGATTTGTTTTAATGAATATATGCTCCTATCAGCTGGGATCCACTGGGGCAAGAGTTCAGCATCTTAACTCAGGAGCTCTGAAGTGATGACAAAAGGCAGGATCCCCAGCCACCTGTTTCAGGCTCACCCTTGGCCCTATACTTTGTTCACAAAGCCTTAGACCCTGTACTTCCCTCTGCCTTACAAGACAGAATGTGCTGGTCCCCAAGGGTGCAGACAGCACACATCATGGTGACCCCTGTACAATGCCATGAACAGCCACTCCACACACAGTCTACTTACTCCATCTGCCCCTGCATGCCCCTGCAGTGACTCACTCACTGGGTCTCAGCGGGCAGTTTCTCTTTCTCCCTATGATTTGCTAACAAGCACAAGAAGTTGACCATTCAGGAAATTTTACAGACCCAGTCTAGAAGTTGACTGACAATAAGAGACAGATTATAAACCCAGAGTTCATTGGAGGCAAACAGGTGAGAAGCTGTTTCCAAGGTTACTTATGGGATTTCGTATCCCAGACTCACTCTCCCCTCTACTGTAGCAAGGGTCAGAGTGGGCTCTGGTTCTAGCAGAAAGCCAGCTGGCAATCTCTGCTGCCTCCACCACCATTCTGAGGAACAGAAACCTATTTTCCACTGTCACTGTTTGTTGGGTTTAAGAAATGCCACTTTAATTTTGATTCCAAATCCAAGGTGAGCACCGATTTTAACCCAAGGCTTGCTTAAATGCGGACTCTCCCTCAGAATCCAACCGCCAGCGGAAGGGTGGCCAAGGCTCCGTAAGGTCACCCGGCAAGACACTCCGAGCCTGGGGGAAGATGGACAGGTTTTCCTACGTGCTTCAGAGGGCCGTTTGTTTTTTATTTTTAAACAAACATTTGTCTTGTTATCAGAGTTTCTCTGTGCCCCAGACAGCAGAGTAACAACCACCAAAAAAACCAGTAAGTGCAGGAAAACCATGAGAGAACCACAGCTTTCTTTGCCAAGTGGATGGATCATACAGAAAGAAGCGGAGAGTGAGGAAGTGGGGACGGCCGCCAGCTCCTCAGAAAACCGGCTTCCATCGAACCCCTAGCGCTCAACCGCTCTAGGCGAAGCCAGCAGGGTCCCCAGCGGGGTGCAGTTTTATAACAAAGCGGGAGCAAGCCGTCGCCCAGTCCTCTGCCCGCCTCGGCCAGACTACGGCGAGAGCTCGCCAGACGTCACGGCGCCGTGGGCTCACCCGGGGGGCCACGGAGGTCCCGCGTCCGCCGGTCCACGCCTGCGCAGCCCAGGTAAAGGTCACGCCCCGTTCTCCCCGCCACCCTCCGC